AGGTGATACTAAGTCCCACGTAGGAGATAGTATGTCCTACGTAGGAGATAGTAAGTCCTACGTAGGGGATACTAAGTCCTACGTAGGAGATAATATGTCCTACGTAGGAGATACTAAGTCCTACGTAGGAGATACGAAGTCCTACGTAGGAGAGAGTGACCCAAAAAATATTTCACCGTTGCCCACTACGCTTCCGTACTTCCCTCTAAACATGGGTGCAATAGATTATTCTTCTACATTTATTAAAGTATATTTTTTACTTTTGATTTTTCATTAAAGAACTATATATTCAGTGATCCGTTGTTTGGGGGATTGTATATACTAGTATACATCAGTGAATGATGTAAGTAAACACTTTCCCAATCTGTGTCATCTTATTTGTCTTTATGTTTTTCATTTTAACCGAAACTTCCTGTGTATTGATACCATCCACTATCATCTTTGGCAAAGCAAAAGGACTGAAAATGACTTTTCAAACTTGGATACGTAGAAAATGTCGCCATTTGTGACACATAACGAAACCGCGATTAACTGGGTTGTTTTCTGTATGTTGCCAAATGCAAACATCGGTTATTTAATTGGGAAAAAAATCACTTTTGCATTACGTCACATATATTTCACGTTCAGATGGGACAAATGCATCATTGAATTCCTCATACATTTGAGAATAAAATAACAAATGGTCTTTGTCACCAATTGCAATACCAAGTGTCCAAATGATATCAAACGAAATATATTTGGTGTGAAAACGAACATTCTGTTCGTAAGATTGCGATTGTTTGATATGTAAACGCAGAACAATCCAGATTTTACACACTGTGTAACATTTTCTCAAATTGTCAGACATCCATTCGTCAATTCAATGCATTCGTTGTCTCGGTATTTTCGGTAGACGCACATAATAGATTTTGTAGCAAGAGTTAGGTAATTAAAAACAGAGACATTACATTGATTTGGTGAATTCAAACGAAATTGTCAATGTTTCCGTCCGCCGTGACTGACGCAAAATCAACGATGCAACGACAACGGAATTCATCGACATTCCTAACTTCACTAAGAAAACAAAAGCAAATAGCAATACGTAGGCAGTCAGGGTGTTTCTCATTACTTACACCACAAACTATTCCTGAATCAAAGGACCCTCGCCAAATCCTGAGAAGTCAGTGAACCCGCCATTTTATACAAAAAACAAAAAACAACAACACTGTCATTGATAGTGATGTAGTATCTCAAGTTTGTTGTACATATTTGGCAATTTGTTTGAGATGGAAGTCGGTTGAATAAGATTAAACACAGTCATACTATCAAGCTAAGCATACTATCAGTTTAAGTATGATAATGTACATTTTACGTATATTTCAGATATTTTTTTCGCGAGCTAATTTCATTATCTACATTAAGTCTTCAGGTATTTGAATGTCATTTAGAAGCCATAAACATAAGGTAGAGAGTTTTATGAATGTCAACGTCTTTGTTATCGGGAACACAACGTTTCAGGGTATAGACTTACTCCTACATCAGGTGAAAAATTAGTACATTTAGCCTTATTTAATATGATAATATGATGCCATACATGGACATAGGCTATATGTTCTGGTTTTTTATCCTTTGCATTTTTTTGTTGCTTATTTGAACAATATTTACAGACGAAAGTGACACATTTAGCGCAGCACACCATATTTTTAGCCCCTACACAAGTGTTAGGTGAAAAGTAGGCATAACTGCAACACGTGCTTTAGTACATAATGTCCAGTATTTAATTATTTAATATTACTTTGCACAAACCTTAAATAATTAACCTGAAAAATCCACACAAAAGGAACTATTTTTGGCATCTTTCATTACTTTTGAAAAGAAATAACCACATCATCATGAAGTAAACTCCTATAACTGAAAATATATTCCTGTCTTGTGAACCATTTCGTTTCATTTACGTTAAATTAAGATACATAATCAAACTGTCTATTGGTAACTGTTTATCTATAAGGGCATTATTTAAATTGTAATTCATTCATTTCATGTTCTGTGGAAAGAATGGCAGCCAAAACGAAGCCTTCTATATAATTAACGGAAATTATGTGAGGAACATATATATATATATATATATGTTGATCAATGAACGTACAAATGTCGTCTTTTCCACCGTCGCAAAAAAAATAAATACTCCATAAAGCAAACCATGGTGTAATGTTTTCAGTAATTTCTTTACATTTGAAGATGTGACTTGTACTCTGTTAATGATGATGAAAAATTACTCGGAATACATCTACACAAGCAGCGGAATATGGGAATCTAAGAACTTATGTAGATATGGGGCAGGACCATCCATTTCGCTGTTGCATGAATTCTCATGTTGTGTGATTTTAATATTTCCTGTAATTTGTGAAACTACAACGTATCCGGTTACAAAGTGGATCTTTGCTTTGGAATAGTCTGGTTCATCGTGAACAACAGATACAACCAGACATTATTTGGTTCCCTCACACATTCCATGAGGACGAAAACAAATATCGTCGTGAAGTGCTTTGGAGACATTTACTGGGGGATTTTTTGTTTGTTTTTGTGTGTTTTTTCACCCATAACGAAATTTCGGACAACTTTTCAAGCCGGCTTCGTATTGACAGTCAATATTTGAATTTATCCCATCGGATAGGATTATACCCGTGAAGATCCGGGTTAGAATATTGGCCTTCAGTAACCCATGCTTGTCGTCAGAGGCGACTAACGGGATCGGGTGGTCAGGCTCGCTGACTTGGCTGATATATGTCATCAGTTCCCATTTGCGTAGATCGATGCTCATGATGTTGATCACTGGATTGCTGAAAATTGCTGAGTGCGGTGTAAAACTAAACTCACTCACTCACTCATCGGATAGGATTGGTTGATTTGTTAGTTGGTTGTTGTTCAACAATATTCCTGCTAAATGGCGGCGGTCTGTAAATATTCGAGTCTGGACCAGACAATCCAGTGTTCAACAGTATGAGCATAGATCCACGCAATTGGGAACCGATGACATGTGTCAACCAAGTCAGCCAGCCTGGCCACCAGATCCCGTTACGACAAGCGTCGGTTACTAAAGACCAATTCTAATCCGGATCTTCACGGGTCGCTTATGGAACGAGTGAGTGAGTTGGGTTTAGCAGGATTCCAGTTACATCAGGTCTAACACGGATCTTCACAGATACATCGGATAGGGAATTTAATTAAAATTCTACATTACTGTGCACTTTTATAGCGACAACGTTCACTTTTCAGGCTTGGGTGTCAGAACAAAGAAAACACGACTCAACTGTGTCAGGGGGTTAATATTATCAACACTATTTGAACAGCATCCAGGGGGTTAATATCATTAACACTATTTGAACAGCATCCAGGGAGTTAATATCATCAACACTATCTGAACGGCATTCAGGGGTAAATATCAATATTATTTGAACGGCATCCTGGGGGTTAATATCATCAACATTACTTGAACGGCATCCTGGGGGTTAATATCATCAACATTATTTGAACGGCATCCAGGGGGTTAATACCATCAACATTATTTGAACGGCATCCAGGGGTTTAGTATCATCAAAATTATTTGAACGGCATCCAGGGGGTTAATATCATCAACATTATTTGAACGGCATCCAGGGGGTTAATACCATCAACATTATTTGAACGGCATCCAGGGGTTTAGTATCATCAAAAAAATTTAAACGGCATCCAGGGGGTTAATATCATCAACATTATTTGAACAGCATCCAGGGCCTTATACCATCAACATTATTTGAACGGCATCCAGGGGTTAATATCATCAACATTATTTAAACGGCATCCAGGGTGTTAATACCATCAACATTATTTGAACGGCATCAAGAGCTTAATATCATCAACCTTATTTAAACGGCATCCAGGGGTAAATATCATCAACATTATTTGAACGGCATCCAGGGGTTAATATCAAAACACTATTTGAACAAAGACCATTAGGCATTTGATTTTTAAATACATGAGGAATTCACGTGTGCGTTGCAGTTCGGTATTAAATATTTGTGACGTAACAGGCGTCTCATGACCAGCTAACGTGAAACATGCATTCTGTAAACACTATCAAACATAACGGAGAGCTTACTTCGGTGTTTATGTTTACTTCGAGACACAGTCAAAACGACTTCAGGGTTAAAGGCGACGTTTCAGAATAACCATTGGCGATTTGTTTAAAAGACCAAATACCGGTGATCTCTAATAGACAATTTTCAGTTCAGTTCAACGGGTAATTATCCGATATTTACATTTGCAACATACAGTAAACGATGCCGTGAATGGCTTCATTAGTCAAAAATGGCGAGATTTACGAAGTATATAATTCTTACCGGCCATATCAGCAATTGTACTTTGCCTAAATAACAATGTTACATCAAGAAACAGAGAACTGGGGGAATATTTGTCTTCCTGGCATCCATTGAAATAATAAAGCTGAGATGATTTGGGTGATGATTGTTATGTGTTTGATGTTGTATACTGTGTGTTAAATCGTAAAAGGGTTAAATTTCAGCAGTAATCAGCTACAAATGCCCAATCTTCCTTTGTTAAACGATCAAACGTTTCCTTCCCGACCACATGATGGTATTTGAAAAATATGTTGTATGGCATGAAGCCAGCATTGCGCAGCTCTATGTCCCATCTGGCTGAGAAGACGGCCGGGCACCTCAGTGTATATCTGTGACGTCACCAGCAGTGTGATGTCACTGTCACTGTACAAATGACGCCATGTCAGCTGGGTGAACCTCGGCTCAGTCTGAGGTCACAGAGTGCAGCAACATGTAAACAAACAGTTTGTTGTTGTCTGTTTTCACAATTCGTGATATTCTCAGAACAAAATTAACACAGAATTATGTTAAGACGGACGACGTTTGCGTACAATCACTCACCGTTTTGCTTGTTTACACTCACTTCACAATTTTCTTACCTGATCGTGAGGTTCCAAACACAACAAATGACAAAATTTCTGAAAATACATTCAACAAGTTTTATTTATATTCAGAAAGGAAAAAGAAATCACCTGAATCGTGACACACGACAACGTTGACGGCACACACCACGTCAGTGTCAGTAACGACATGTGCACCGTCTCTGTCCACACCAACACTGACTTCAGTGTCCACCACGTGACACCAGGAACTCCGCCACTTTCGCTGATGTCCAAAGTCTCGCCCAGTCGGCCGCTGTCTCCCCGTCGTTGTTCCTGGCGTTGATGTTCACCACGTTCAGGGACACGATCAGCTTCACGATCTCCAGGTGTCCACCAGCACTGGCCAAGTGAAGGACGTTCCTACCGACCCTGTCCACCAGTGACACATCTGCCCTCTACCCACCAGGAACTCCACCACATCGCTGTGTCCCATCACTGCTGCCATCATCACCGGTGTCCTGCTGTAGACTCTAGTGTTGATGTCCACGTGACCCGCTGACAGGATCCGCTTCACTCTCTCAGGTCACCGGCCTTGCTGGCGGAGTAGAGGTCGCGACCTGCTGCTGGTGATGGAGTCGCTGCAACACAAAGTAAACTGTGTACATCAGACATCTTTGTCACACATCTACAATGTTTTTCATCATGTTGATACGTGACTCGGACATTGCTGCATCATTTAAACAATTCCATCATGGCTGACAACAATACAACATGGCGGGAATGTCAACATGTGGTTTCTGGAATTATGGATGGTTTGTTTTAGTACAGAACTTTCTGTTAGAACCAGAAGTTGTAACAATATCTTGTGTACGACTGGAGAGTGTTGATGTTTGTTGAACTTTGATAATGTCAGTACAACTGTTGTTTGGTATATATTAGGGTCATAAGATATAACGTTGGTTTATGTCACAGTGTTTTGTTTGTTGTTTAACGCCACACTCAGCAGTATTCCAGCTGTCTGATGGCGACCTCAGCATAAATATCTGGTTCATGGAATCCTCTGATTGACAACATGATTGTCGATTGATACCATTGGCGAGACTCATCTCAGAATCTCCACGGGTATATACATCAGCGTGTTAAATACAGGAAGAATTAAGGACTTATAGCTTCCTGCCTGCTGGGTTCTCCCACCTACCATGTAGATCAGAGTCTTGTGTCGTCTCTGGCGCTGGGTGGAAACGTCTTGCTCTGGCTCGTATCAGTCGAGGCTGAAACAGGGAATATATTATTCAGAAAACTATACATACATTATAACTACTGGCCTCAGTTTTCGCCTTTCCACATACGTTGTGCCTTTCAATATTATGTATGATTAAATTCTAAATACATTTCTTATGGAAGAAGTATTAAATATATATGGTTTAATTTGACTGAGATAACTCTTCATCGAGACCACGTGTCTATGCAGGAAAAGAGTAACCCTTCCTAAATTTAGATTTTACAGTTTGAAATCCTGTGATTGCCAACACGAACGTCGATCGATACTATAGGTGAGACCCATCCCTCAAGTCAGAATCTCAACGGGTATAACATCAGTCTGTTAAATGCAGGAAGAATTAAGGACTGAGCTTCCTCCCACCTACCCGGTAGATCAGCGTCTTGTGTCGTCATTGGCACTGGTGGAACCGTGCTGCTCGGGTCAGTCGAGGCTGAAACAGGGAATATGTTGATCAGAAAACTATGCATACATTGAACATAGAGATTTTTCTGGGTTATTCTTATTCATATTCTTTTTATTCCTGAGTACGTTTCAGGGCTTGTTCTGGCTCCATCATCAGGTCATTATAACTACTGGCCTCAGTTTTCGCCTTTCCACATATGTTTTGCCTTTCAATATTATGTATGGATAAATTCCAAATACATCTGTTATAGCAGATGTATTACATATATACGGTTTGAATTGATTGAGATACCTGTTCAGCAGGACCACGTGTCTCCAAAGAAAAAAGAACACTACTAAATATATTTTTACAGTTTGATCTGAAAATGTAATAAGCTGTGCACTGACTGTGTGTTAACAGCTGAGATGCTCCTCTTGGTTTTCACCCTAAGCCACTGCACTAGTGTGTAGGGCAGCATGGTAACTTTATTGGGTGTTTGTGCAACACAGTTGTAATTTCTGTCAGGCAAACTCTGTGAAACACTCACAAAATGTCAGCATATCGAGCGACGGCGGAAGTGTAGTTCTCATACTACTATCTGAGGCGGAAAGTGTAGCTGACACAGCCGTACTTGTTGTTGGAAGCAATGTACTTTGATAAACAACAAGGGTAGAAACACAGTGGCTGTGTGTGGTGGTAAAGATCAAAATGTCGGCTGACCGAGTGATTGACATTCCGTCTGTTTCAATGTTAGAAATAACAAGAATATGCCCTTCCATAATCTACGGTAAATGGTGAGTCATCATTAGTGAAAGAATAACGCAAGAATAATTTTCGTAAGTTTAGAATCGGTCGAATTGCTTTCATACTTATCTACCAATTGGGAAATCATCTCAGCTACATACACATAATTTCCATTAAATTTTCCGATGATTATTACGAAAACTGCAACTATTTACACGACATATATTAGACATATACCAATCAGGTTTAACATGGCTGTCTATGGGATAGATTAAAATTAAGTTGTACTTCTATGGTGTTTCGATAACTAATCAACGGAAAGATGAAAGAAAATTATGTTCACGAAGCTAAGATGATTTCCGAGATGTTTGCAAAATGTCAAAATAAAATGACTTCTACTCAATTTATGAAAATTATATTTGCAACAGTTAATTAACATGTAAGTCTATGGAAATTTCACTCATGATGACTCACTCACTTATGGCCAGCTACTGTACATTTCATGGCATATTCTTGAAGTGTTACAGAAATACATGTGTTCCACATTATGGTTTCAGTGTTAAAAGAGCAAAGCTACAGGCTTTCAATGTAAATCACCATTATGGTGATACTTTGGGTCGTGTGCTGTAGAGGGGAGTGGTGCGAAAAGTATCTGGACACTTGACGTAATTTCCATAGACTTACATGTTAATTTAGTGCAGCATAAATAATTTTCCTGAATTTTATTTTTGTAAGATCCAAGTCAAATTTTGCACATTTGTGACGAATCAATCACACAATCACACAATTTCGGTTTAATTTTCCGTTGCTTGTTTACTGAATGGAAACAATTTAATCAACATGGGTACAGTGCTATAGACTCCTTTAACATGGCGGCCCATTGGGATTGTGCATTGTGGAACCATACGTAAGTTACTAAATGTGATGTCATTAGTTAAATAGTGGTTAGAAAATTGAACTGAAATTATGCGCGCAGAGCAGATATGATTTTAATTTTGCCTGTCAAATTTTACGAAGATCATTCCTAAACTCACTTCATGAAAATTATTTATGCTACACATGAAATAACATGTAAGTCTATGGAAATTACTTCACGTGACTGAACAGTCCGAATCAATGCAATTCAGATATTTATTGACGCAGAACAACCCAACGTTCCTTCATCCCCGCCCGGTGACAGGCTAAACAAACGCTAGTTATGAAATGCCTTGACTGCTTTACAGCAGCGATACATTTACACGTTCATCCGCAAAGTTTGCCAGCCAATGACGTCACTGCTATGACGTGTCTGGTTAGGAGAATGTCAACGTCTTTGGCGCCTGACGTTTGGCGCTTTACTGCTTACTGACCAACAACTCTGTATGGAAATGTGTTTACCCGACTCATGTTTCCCTTCCGGTTTTATCAGATGAAAGCAACATGTAACAACATATACTAGTAAAAAGCACTCACCATAATGTTATGAATATATATATGGTTACATCGGAGATGAATTTCTCAACTAACTTGGAGGAAACAACTGCACAATTTATGCAGATGAATCGCACTATATCATACAGCAAATTGCTGAAAAGCATGTGCAAATATCGTGCATGTGTACAGATGCGTTTTGGTGTAAAGTTTTGTTAAGAATTCGCCAATTTTCACCGAGTTTCATCATTTATTGAACTCATTACTATAATCTTTTCAACGTTACGAATTCGTTTTACAATATATCAGTTCAGGTGTAAACAGCACCTTCAAACAGTATGGAATATTTTGTAAAATCTAGTTCATAACAGTTGACTGAAATAAGTGACTATATTTACACTAGCGAGTCTAAACATTTGGTGGGTAGTATATATTCCTAATCAATCATTCTTTGTGCTACCTGTGGTATGGCATGGACAACAATTGCATCTGGTAGGATTTACATATCACAACATATGCGATAGACATATTGGGTACTTCCCTAAGTCACCGATTGTTGATGTCACAAAATTCCTAATATTTGTTCACAAAAATATAATGTGTTGGACAGGTCTGACATGAAGGGTCTGGTCGGACAACACCAGGCTGAGTCGTGACGAGTGGGTTTAGGCAGTTTTACTGGAAGCAAGTTGGAATCGGTGTAATACTGTGGTCATGGAAATGGTGCTGTGGCATGACGAAACCAGTTTGAGTCTCATCAGGTGTCCACTTCCTAACTGAATCAATAAGTTCCCCAGAAGAGGTTCAGAAATATTTCAGCAGAGTTGAAATACAAACTTCAAATGCAGTACAATTACAACGGCATCGTAAAATATAAGGACATTAGTAACAGACATAATATCAGCGATAATAATGTTCAGCTTGCAGCAACAGTGGTCAAGCTAGACCGAGGTTAGACATCCATGGGGTAAATGTAATGATCTTCACACACCAGCTGATCTTGATGTAATGTAAGATGAGATCTGCAGCGCTTGCCCCACATATATAGCCTCATTGCTGGAGTTGTACATGGGTATATAATAAGATGAGATCTGCAGCGCTTGCCCCACATATATAGCCTCATTGCTGGAGGTGTACATGGGTATATAATAAGATGAGATCTGCAGCGCTTGCCCACATATATAGCCTGAGCTTGTACATGGGTATATAATAAGATGAGATCTGTGCCCCACATATATAGCCTCATGAGCTTCTATACATGGGTATATAATAAGATGAGATCTGCAGCGCTTGCTTTACATATATAGCCTCATTGCTGGAGGTGTACATGGGTATATAATAAGATGAGATCTGCAGCGCTTGCCCCACATATATAACCCCATTACTGGAGTTGTACATGGGTATATAATAAGATGAGATCTGCAGCGCTTGCCCCACATATATAGCCTCATTACTGGAGGTGTACATGGGTATATAATAAGATGAGATCTGCAGCGCTTGCCCACATATATAGCCTCATTACTGGAGGTGTACATGGGTATATAATAAGATGAGATCTGCAGCGCTTGCCCCACATATATAACCTCATTACTGGAGGTGTACATGGGTATATAATAAGATGAGATATGCAGCGCTTGCCCCACATATATAGCCTCATTGCTGGAGGTTTGTACATGGGTATATAATAAGATGAGATCTGCAGCGCTTGCCCCACATATATAGCCTCATTGCTGGAGCTGTACATGGGTATATAATAAGATGAGATCTGCAGCGCTTGGCTGCCCACATATAACCTCATTACTGGAGTTGTACATGGGTATATACTAAGATGAGATCTGCAGCGCTTGCCCCACATATATAGCCTCATTACTGGAGGTGTACATGGGTATATACTAAGATGAGATCTGCAGCGCTTGCCCCACATATATAGCCTCATTACTGGAGCTGTACATGGGTATATAATAAGATGAGATCTGCAGCGCTTGCCCCACATATATAGCCTCATTGCTGGAGCTGTACATGGGTATATAATGAGATGAGATCTGCAGCGCTTGCCCCACATATATAACCTCATTACTGGAGTTGTACATGGGTATATAATGAGATGAGATGCAGCGTTTTGCCCCTATATATAGCCCCATTGCTGGAGGTGTACATGGGTATATATAAGATGAGATCTGCAGCGCTTGCCCCACATATATAGCCTCATTACTGGAGTTGTATATGGGGTGAAGGGACGACCATGGGAAGTGTGACGATTACATTGTAATGGTGGTCCAGTCTGACGAAATCAGTTCGAGTCCTGGGTGGTTGGTCAATGGCGGGGTGACTCTAAGTATAAATGTTCGAGTTGCATAAGATTATGGTTCCGACTACCTCTATTGCAAAGGGGCGGGGTCGTGGATGTACAGTATACTAGTACACTGGTTATAATGCCACCGTTTGTCCAGGAGAAAATATGGCATTATATCCAGGAGGACCTGTGCAATCAACAAGGTGATTGAGCTGATTCTCCTGTAATGAGCCTTGAATGTCTGGATAATGCCAGCGTCTGGGGGACTGCAGGTGACTTGTTTTTGTAGGTGTCAGGAAGTGTATTGTCACATGTGTTATCCTATCTGGGATTACATGACTACGTAAAGCATTAATGAGTTTGGTCACTTAATTTCAGTCATGTCAATTGACCAATTAAGGTATTTCTACTACATGCAGCCAGTGAAATTGGCATTATCACCAGGGGAAAATGTCTGTTTGTTCCATAAATATCTAGTTTGGCATTATAACCAGGGTATTATATAGGCAGGAAATCTGTTCTGGCAAATACATGACAATATATCCAGGGATGCATTATAACCAGGGGCATTATAACCAGGGGCATTATAACCGGGGGCATTATAACCAGGGTATTATATAGGAAGGAAATCCCTTCTGGCAAATACATGACATTATATCCAGGGTGGCATTATAACCAGGGACATTAAAACCAGGGGCATTATAACCAGAGGCATTATAACCAGGGTGCATTATAACCAGGGGCATTATAACCAGTGTTCACTGTATTTTAACTGTCGGGCTAAACTGATAACAATGACGCATAGATGTTTATGATCGTAACTTATATGCTTTGTGTTTCCAATATTGGTCGTCAGTTATTCATTGATATTCCTCTTGCAAGAGTGTTTACTGATTTAGTTCTGAACGTACAGATTTGCTACTTACGAATCTAAACCGAATATGATCTTGATAACTGGAAACACAAAGTTGATACGTCCCACATTGGGACAACGAGCAAAAACGTGACAAATGTCCCACATGGTAACCAGGGGCACAAGAAGTCACAAATGTCCCACATGGGAACCAGGGGCACAAGAAGTCACAAATGTCCCACATGGTAACCAGGGGCACAAGAAGTCACAAATGTCCCGCATGGGAACCAGGGGCACAAGAAGTCACAAATGTCCCACATGGTAACCAGGGGCACAAAAAGTCACAAATGTCCCGCATGGGAACCAGGGGCACAAGAAGTCACAAATGTCCCACATGGTAACCAGGGGCACAAGAAGTCACAAATGTCCCGCATGGTAACCAGGGGCACAAGAAGTCACAAATCTCCCACACGGTGACCACTGTCCGTGTACCCTGTGACAGTCATGTGTTTCTTAGCCTCTCAAACAGGCATCATACATATTGTGATATAATATTGCAGACACTTAACATCTAGTTTTTAGCATAATTGTTTGATAGTTGAATTGGGGTATCATATAACAAGGTACAGTCCGGGCCCTCCACAGTTTCTGACGATGATGCACGTTGTCGATAACTGTTCTATGTTAGGTCTGCAAGATCCTGTTCATTCAGCAGAGAATCGCCTGTCTGTCGACTGTCCCGCAGTGTCTGTCGACTGTCTCCAACTGTCTGTCGACTGTCTCCCACTGTATGTCGACTGTCCACCACTGTCTGTCAACTGTCTCCCACTGTATGTCGACTGTCCACCACTGTCTGTCGTCTGTCCACCACTGTCTGTCCACTGTCTCCCACTGTCTGTCGACTGTCTCCCACTGTCTGTCAACTGTCTCCTATTGTCTGTCGACTGTCCTGCACTGTCTGTCAATTGTCTCCTACTGTCTGTCGACTGCCCGTATGCCCTAAGCCATCTGTCGTTGATTTCACTGTCCGGAAGCAATTCCTTAGGTATATTGAGTACTCAAGTACCGGTCTTCACTCGGCTTAGGTACATTGTGTCTGTCTGTGCCAGTTTGTATTCTGTCTGATGTTTGCACGGTCTGTGTGTAACGTTTTATCAGGTTACATACTGCAACACGCGCGGCAACTGAAATTTCTCTCTCTGTCCCGGATACAAAATAAGTACAAAAGACAAACGGAAACCTCTAAATCACATGTCGAGATGTATTGCACGCCCTATGTTGGCATTACCTGCTAACTCAATGGTTGTCCCCATTTTGACAGGCCCAATAAACTCTATGCAGGACATACATATGGCAGTTTAACACTGTCATGTTCGGAAATGTAACGTTTCCCAAATAAAACACTGAAAGTTTACCTCCGACAAAAGCAGAAGACACACACTCATATCTTCCGGTTGGAATTTCAAGATAAGCGACTAATCGTTGCTGAAAGACTCACCTGCTGTAGTTCCAGGATACGTCGTGTTCGAAGTCGTGTTAACATCACTTTCTTTTATCTCTTTCTTAGTCCCACAACAATTCTTATTCAGTGCCATCAAGTCCTCCGTAAGACCAGTGATTTGTTGCTTTGTTTCCAAAAGATCATCATTGGTCTGATTCAATTCGGATTTCAGCATCCTTGCATCACCCAAGTCAGCTACAGTCAGATTGAACTGCCGTTGCAATGCGCGGATGTTTTTGGTCAAACTGCCACGCAGTCTTCTTAGACTCTCTCTATAAGTGTTTCTTTCCCTTTCAGCATGTCTCAACTCTTGCGTTACTGCAATTAGTTGAGTCTTCGTGTTTTGCAAATTGGCTTTGAGGATGTGAATTTCATCGAGGACATGTGCACTTATTATATTGCCAATATAGTCTTCGTTAAGAATTTCGGTAATTGCTTGTTTGACGAGAGGCGTTATCAATGGAGGGAGGGATGTTCTAGTCAGTTCTTCTTTCAGTGACGACTTCAACACCTTAAATTTGTTGATCAGTTTAGCGTCAGTCGTAACAGCTGTAAGCTTCCAAGCATTAATCTCTCCTTCGACCAGACTAACTCGTGTAGCCAAATCTGCCAAACTGGCATCAACAAATACACCTCTGATACCGCTCAACAGCAGACTGTAGAATACAACTGTTGATAGCTCCATTGTTCAAGTCAACTGTGTAGCAGCTAGGAAGACGACTGCCTCGCCGCCGGGTAAACGGCGTTAATATTGCCCGACTCAAGTGTTTGGCAGAATGCCAGCTCGGGGAAACACATGCTCCACCAGTAGTGAGCGTACACGTGGCGTCATAACAACCTGAGAATATTGAGATGGATATCCAGTGCCAAGTACTCTGTAAGTAAAACACTGTTCTGTGAATTATCACTTTTAAAGTAACATCAAATATAGTGTAACACATTATAGTTATAGTTGGGATTACACTTTCTCAGTGAAGTTCAGATTCTAATACTTTTGTGGGGTTGAGTCCACAGTACACAGAATGTATTGATAGCTTTCGGCCGTATCAGAGGGGTACGCAAAGTCCGTGGTCTAGACTACCAGTTGTCCGACTTCCATTTGTGTGGAAGCTATGGTGGCTGAGTAGATTAGACGTTTGGCTTTGTGTGCTGGCGATTAGCTGCCTGACTCTGAGAGTGCCGGATGAAACTCAACCCAACAAAATAGATAATGGTGCATGTTCCTGTAGTTAAACCCCAAAATAAAACACCTCCTACTTTTATTGTCTAATACATAACAGGGTCCTTTATGTATTACTGTCCAGGATATATGTCGTGCATTACATTACAGGGCGGTAGAGTAGCCCAATGGTTGAAGTTTCTCCTCGTCACGCTAAAGACCCAGGTTCGATTCCCCTCATGGTTACAATGTTTACAACCCACTTTTGGCTTCCCCTGTCGTGATATTGCTTGAATATTGCTAAAAGCGGCCTAAAACCATGCTCACTCACTCACTCACTCACATTACAGGATATATATGCCACGTGTTACTGTACAGGATTTATGGTATCATCTTAGGTTAGAGTACACATGTTTTGTATTACATTACAGTGTACCTGTTGTCTGTTATATCATAGTACATATGTAAAGTGATTGTAATCATTGTTCAGGTATCAGGAGCTCTTCAAGACTAAAAGATGATGAAGTAAAGCAACGCCTTTCTTACAAACGACGTTCTAAGCACCATGGTATGTTGACTCCTGGAATGGTAAAGATGTTGTCCAACCTAGCTTGGCCATCAAAATACTGCAGCATCTCTGGAGACGTTATGTACAGCATGGAAATACTCGCACCGGACCCATTGTCGACGTCGGAATATAACAAGTCAGCCACACTAGGAGAACTGTACACCAGCTGTTTGACGGAACACAACAATGAAACTTATTTGGGTACGTTTTACCAAAATGGGCATTCGCAATTTGCAAGAAATCCATCACGTTACCATACCTATATAGCGACATTCTGAGTCTTAATTATCCCCTGACCATAAACCTAAATTTCCCTGACTAAAACCCCAAATTCCCTGACTATTCCCTGAGCTTTGAAAACATAAACAAAATTCTCTGACTTTTTTCTGACTGTCAGAGAAAAGCAGAAACTCTCTGACTTTTTCCCTGACCTGTGGGAGCCAAGATGTGAGGGCAAGTCAATTGTTCAGTCGAAGAAACTGAACATTGGGAACTTCTGAGACAAGTCAAAAGAGGAGATTGCATCAGACTGCATTTTTGTCACTAATCCGTCAGATTTTGGTATGTTTTCCAGTGACCTACAATACACCTTTCTGAATGCTTTGCTGGGGGCTTTAATGGTCGAACAACTTCTGAGCAGGACTGGTATGGTGCTCTTTCAAATCGTGGTGAATAGCTGTGAAATGTGAAAAGAAAATGCTGTAGCTTTTGGAGTATCAGTTAAGTGGATTACACTTGGCACAAATAGAGGTAGGTTTTATCAGAATGCATGTATGACGTAGTTGTTCCTGTCAGAATGCCAAGACACTTGGAATGGATTCGGCAAGAATAGTAACGCTGTATGTGATGATACATGAAGCAATGAAACGACTAAAACATTCAGCACATTACTGTTTCCAACTTATACATTTAAAGTATTTTTAAATCTATTTTCGAACACCAAAATCTTTAATACTACAAATAATTATTGTCTATGCATGAGATCAAGGCGTCTTTTCACTTCATAGTACATATACACTGGCCTACAATTCCCTTGGTACCCGTGAAGATCCGAATAGAACTGATGTTCAGTAACCCATGCCAGGCGACTAACGGGATCGGGTGGTCAGGCTGGCTGACTTGGTTGACACATGTCATCGGTTCCCAATTGCGTGGATCGGTGCTCTTGCTGTTTATCACTGGATTGTGTGGTCCAGACTCGATCAGCTTGTGGTACTGATGGGAAATGCCTCAAGGTAAAGTTGGTTGACTATGCGGGCGCTTAATTGTGCAATTCTTAGCTAGCTAAAATGTGTAGCTAAACCATTTGCCACCTAAGCGAAGAGCTAAATTCATGTGTTAATTCACCAGGTTGATCATCTATCTACATATTTATTGTGTGATGGTAAAGATGCACATGGTCATATAAGATTGCACCTGTCCACAATGCCACGGTAGGCTACCCCCACCGTCCCACAGGGACAATTTATACAGAGAAATGTACGCGGAAATGAGTATTAAGAGTATATATCATGATGGGGAGTATATATCAGGGGAAAAGTGTATAAGGTAATCTATCTGGTGAAATGTCCATCTCTCACTCACTTCTTTAACGCTGACTAAAAAAATTACACAGTGACTCAGTACAGTATTACTCACAAACGATTTTAACTCTGCTTACTCACTTGCTTAAACAGATTAAATTACTCACTCACTCACTTCGTTAAAGCTGCATTACATATTGACTTATAACAGCATTACTCACAAACGTTTTAACACTGCCTTACTTGCTTAAACAGATTGAATCACTCACTCACTTATCTAATGTTGCATTATACATTGACTTAAAACAGTATTACTCACAAACGTTTTTAACTCGGCTTACTCACTTGCTTAAACAGATTAAATTACTTACTCACTTATCTAATGTTGTATTATACATTTACTTAAAACAGCATTACTCACAAACGTTTTAACACTGCCTCACTTGCTTAAACAGATTGAATCACTCACTCACTTATCTAACGTTGCATTATACATTGACTTATAACAGTCTTACTCACAAACGTTTTGACACTGCCTTACTTGCCTATACAGATTGAATCACTCACTCACTTATCTAACTTTGCATTATAAATTGACTTATAACTGTCTTACTCACAAACGTTTTGACACTGCCTAACTTGCTTAAACAGATTGACTCACTCACTCACTTATCTAAAGTTGCATTATACATTGACTTATAACAGTCTTACTCACAAACGTTTTAACACTGCCTTACTTGCTTAAACTGATTGACTCACTCACTCACTCATCTAATGTTGCATTACACTTTAACTTAAAACAGTATTACTCACAAACGTTTTAACACTGCCTTACTTGCTTAAACTGATTGACTCACTCACTCACTCATCTAATGTTGCATTATACATTGACTTATAACGTTATTACTCACAAACGTTTTAACACTGCCTTACTTGCTTAAACAGATTGACTCACTCACTCACTTATCTAATGTTGCATTATACATTGACTTATAACGTTATTACTCACAAACGTTTTAACACTGCCTTACTTGCTTAAACTGATTGACTCACTCACTCACTTATCTAATGTTGCATTATACATTAACTTAAAACAGTATGGCTCACAAACGCTTTAACACTGCCTAACGTGCTTAAACAGATTGAATCACTCACTCACTTATCTAACGTTGCATTATACATTGTCCTTTAACAGTCTTACTCACAAACGTTTTGACACTGCCTTACTTGCTTAAACAGATTGAATCACTCACTCACTTATCTAACGTTGCATTACACATTAACTTAAAACAGTATTACTCACAAACGTTTAAACACTGCATTACTTGCTTAAACTGATTTACTCACTCACTCACTTATCTAATGTTGCATTATACATTGACTTATAACAGTCTTACTCACAAACGTTTTGACACTGCCTTACTTGCTTAAACACATTGAATCACTCACTCACTTATCTAACGTTGCATTACACATTAACTTAAAACAGTATTACTCACAAACGTTTAAACACTGCCTTACTTGCTTAAACTGATTGACTCACTCACTCACTTATCTAATGTTGCATTATACATTGACTTATAACAGTATTACTCACAAACGTTTTAACACTGCCTTACTTGCTTAAACTGATTGACTCACTCACTCACTCATCTAATGTTGCATTACACATTAACTTAAAACAGTATGACTCACAAACGTTTTAACACTGCCTTACTTGCTTAAACAGATTGACTCACTCACTCACTCATCTAATGTTACATTATACATTAACTTAAAACAGTATTACTCACAAACGTTTTAACACTGCCTTACTTGCCTATACAGATTGAATCACTCACGCACTTATCTAACTTTGCATTATAAATTGACTTTTAACTGTATTACTCATAAACGCTTTAACACTGCCTAACTTGCTTAAACAGATTGAATCACTCACTCACTTATCTAACTTTGCATTATACATTGACCTATAACAGTATTACTCACAATCGTTTTGACACTGCCTTACTTGCTTAAACACATTGAATCACTCACTCACTTATCTAACGTTGCATTACACATTAACTTAAAACAGTATGACTCACAAACGTTTTAACACTGCCTTACTTGCTTAAACAGATTGAATCACTCACTCACTTATCTAATGTTGCATTATACATTGACTTAAAACAGTATCACTCACAAACGTTTTTAACTCGGCTTACTCACTTGCTTAAACAGATTAAATTACTTACTCACTTATCTAATGTTGTATTATACATTTACTTAAAACAGTATTACTCACAGACGTTTTAACACTGCCTTACTTGCTTAAACAGATTGAATCACTCACTCACTTATCTAACGTTGCATTATACATTGACTTATAACAGTCTTACTCACAAACGTTTTAACACTGCCTTACTTGCTTAAACAGATTGAATCACTCACTCACTTATCTAACGTTGCATTATACATTGACTTATAACAGTCTTACTCACAAACGTTTTAACACTGCCTTACTTGCTTAAACTGATTGACTCACTCACTCACTCATCTAATGTTGCATTACACATTAACTTAAAACAGTATGACTCACAAACGTTTTAACACTGCCTAAATTGCCTATACAGATTGAATCAC